CCGGAGTTGAAGCAACTAGGCGAGAACGTGGTGAAAACCAGGTGCACCCAAAAAGGCGAGATGCTCTTCGAACTGAAAAAGGACCCGTCGGTGAGGAGTTCAGCCTTCAAGGAACTCGTCGAAAAATATCTTGGCGAGGACGCGAACGTAAGAGCCTTATCGCAGGAGTCAGTGGTCGAGTGCAAGGATCTGGATGAGATCACAACGGAAGACGAGGTACGATGTGCGCTGAAAGTGCAATGCAATCTGGGAGAAGTGCCTATGACACGGTTGAGGAAGGCGTACGGTGGTACACAAACGGCGTCGATACGACTTGCGACGGACGCAGCTAACGAGTTGCTGAAGACAGGACGAGTCAAGGTTGGGTGGTCAGTATGTCCCCTGAAAGCTATCCCTCGGGTTACCAAGCAAATGGAGAGATGCTTTAAGTGCATGAACTTTGGTCACCAGGCGAGAAACTGAAAAGGCCCCGATAGATCGGAGCTGTGCAGGAAATGCGGAGAGAAGGGGCACGTTGCTAAAGTCTGTATGAAGCAACCGAGGTGCATGCTCTGCAGAAAGGAGTCCACCCCCGAGATGGACAATGGAGCAGTTTCACCACATGCTAGATAGACTCACCGGGGAGCTCACCGGACGGAGACCAACCGTCATTGGAGGAGATTTTAATGCTTGGGCAGTGGACTGGGGAAGCAGATGTACCAACGCAAGAGGGTATAGCCTACTGGAAGCTCTGGCAAAGTTGGACGTCAGTCTGGCCAACGAAGGAACCATCAGCACCTTCCGCAAAGATGGTAGGGAATCCATTATCGATGTCACTTTCTGCAGTCCGTCGTTAGTGGCAAGTATGAACTAGAGAGTGTGTGAGGAGTACACTCATAGTGACCATCAGGCGATTAGGTACAGCTTTGGCCTACGGATACCTACGGCAATGTGGAAAACTAAAGTAAGCAAGCGGAGGTGGAAGACGAAGGCATTCGACAAGGATCTATTTGTAGAAGCTCTCCGGGTAGACAGCAGCGTCCCAGACCAAAGCGCGGACGAATTGACCGAATCGTTAACGTCGGCGGCGAAGGCCATCAATGCGATAGCTAGAATCTTACCGAACAACTCTGGACCAAGCAGCAGCAAGAGGCGTCTTCTGACTAGTGTATCGTCATCGATACTGAGGTATGGAGGTCCAGCCTGGGATGCAGCGCTGAAAACGAAGAAGAACCAAAGAAAATTGAACAGTACGTTCCGCCTCATGGCCATGCGAGTCATGAGTGCGTACAGAACAATTTCGACGGAAGCAATATGCGTTATCGCCGGTATGATACCCATCGTCATCACCTTGGCGGAGGACACCGAATGCTATATGCGAAGAGATACCAGAGGAGTACGAACATTGGTGAGAACGGAGTCGATGGCTAAGTGGCAACAGGAGTGGGACGCAGCGGAGAACGGTAGATGGACACACAGGCTAATACCGATTCTTTCGACCTGGGTGAACAGGAAGCATGGATAAGTCAACTTCCATTTGACGCAGTTCCTGTCTGGTCATGGCTGCTTCAGGAAGTACCTGCATCGCTTTGGACACACAACGTCACCCCTCTGTCCGGAGTGTGGCAACGTGGACGAAACGCCGGCGCACGTGGTTTTCGACTGCCCAAGATTTGAGGCAGTGCGAGTGGAGATGCCGGCGCTTAGCGCGAGAAATGTCGTCAGTGAAATGTGCCGGGATGAGAGGACGTGGAGCCCCCCACCCCCCGACGAAATACTCTAGGGGAGTTCCGGGGGGGTAGTGGCTAGAGGCGAGTAAGGTTTTAGTAGTTAAGAGTCCCACACTGTGCCAGAAGAAGAACAAACACGCAACACAGTGACAGGCCGGGCTTTTGAAGCTTTCCTTACTATAAAAAAAACATACATAACGTACATAATTTTCAACTAGCCCCTCAACCCCCCTCCCTTTGATCTTGCCACCACTGCACATTTAATTCTCGAAAAATGTCATTATAGAGCTCGACAATTAATAAAATACGAATACGACTGTACAAAACAGTCCACCTCAACCAAAACTAATTGAATCATATAGGCTGACAAAATCGGGTCAAAAAGCTGACAAAATTGGGGGTGGACAAAATCGGGGGTAGACAAAATCGGGGGCTGACAAAATCGGGTCACCACTGTATAGCTACCAGAAACACGATTTCCATACGATCATAGGGTTGCTAGAAGTTCACATTAAAAATGAACCCCATTAATATAAATGAAGTGTCGTTCAGATTAGCGAGGGTCCACGGTATATAGATATTCATTAGACTAATGATTGTCAGATGAATCAAGGTTATAATAAATAAAAGTAGAACAGGTGCTGGTGTTTACTCTCGTGAGCTGAGGCTGCAGTCACTTGGTAGATACTGCAATGTTGTTTCAGGTAGACATATTTGCCATTATGTGTGAAGTGCAATCTGAGCTGCATCATAATGTAATGGTTACAGTTATATCAGTGGCGTCACCCTAACCTCAATCTACCTGTTCAACAACTCTCAAAACGTAAACAAACAAAACAATATTGGTTCCAATGGATACAAATCAGTAAAACGAGAAGAAAACAAATAGGCTGTGGAGTTTTGACTTCTTAAGTAGAGTTGTTTATTTTATCAAGATAAACAACTTTGCCTATGTCGTCAAGTCTTCAAAACGCCATTTTAATACATTAAAAAAAGTTATAGAAAAAACTACATGCTCCACTAAAATGATGAAATCTCAAAAACACCAAAATATACCTTTCTCAAATTTTGATATTTTGTTTATCGAGTATTGCTTAATTTTTGCTGAAAATGTCAGATTGCGATTTTTTGCGCTTTGGGAGATATTAAAATTCAAATATTGTTGTTTTTTTCGGTTTTTCAACAATATCTTTAAAATTTAAAGCCTAAATCAGTATTTTTCTGCACAAAAGTTATTTATTTAATGCATTTGTGTAAGAGAAAAATATAAAACTATAATATGGTTGTCAGCAAAAAAACCGAAACTGAAAGAAAAAAGCATATTTTCGACATTTTTTTCTTTAATTCCATATAACTCGAAACCAGTAGGCTGTGGAAATTTTACGTCTTTAAAAGAGTTGTTTATTTTGTCAAGGCAAACAACTTTACCGAAGACATCAAGTCTCCAAATCGTCAGAGAAAGAAGTTAGATTGTGGTGCCATCTTTGCGGAAGAATTTTGAACTATTTGTTTATGTCAATAGATGGTTCTTATTATGATGAGAAACTTTGCCCAAGGTACCAAGTCGCGGAAATTCTTCGTTGCGGAGTTATTAATTTTGCTCCGCTAGATTGCATTTCTGGCCCAGTGTGCAATCTCTACCATTTATGCTCTACTTTCTTTTGTTAATATCTCGTTGTTGTGTCGCTTCTCTAAAATTACTCGAACTGTTAACATACTCAGCCATACAGACCCGACAATAAACCGATAAATTTGGAATACTTAATCAGTAACCAATATTTTAGAAGTGTTCATGCTAAAAAGTTACAGCTCTTTGATCTTTTTGGAGAGTGCCAAAAATAGCAACTTATGCATGGATTGGTAGTAGATGCTTAGCAATTCGAGCAAGCAAACTTTCAACAAAAAAGCAAGACCAGCAAACCGCAGAAATAAACCATCTATGTATAGCCGTCGTGAACATCAACGACCTTGTAACTTTCCAAAATAGCATCACCTTTGATCACCTGTTGTATGATCATTAGAGTGGTTCCAAATATCGATTTTGCTCCACCAAGCTTAATCGATTTCAAATCCTGGTCCAGCTAAATCTCCCAAAATTTGAGCTCATTTGGAAGCGAACTCATACTGATGATATTTTTCTGACATGCTCCATAACCTGCTCAGCACTAGACAACACTGGTGTGCGTGGTGCGAAGAATAGTGCTAACATCCAGGCTACTACGCCATACGTGCAAGATGCAGTGTTGCCCTGAAACCAGTCGATTAATCATATCAGAAAGCTATCGACTTCTCGGCTTCGAAATCAATTAATAACTATTTACCTTGAAGTCTAATAAGATCAAATTTTACATATGAGCAGAAAGCAAACTTTTCTCTAAACTATTATTGTGGCGAAGTGCTAGGACGTTGAGACCAAAAAGTTCACTTTTCCCATGGTAATTATAAACTTCAAATGGCCAATGGAGTATGCGTTCGCATCCAAAAAAAATCCCAAATTTTGGGTGAATGATCAGGACCTGATTTAGAATCGATTGAGCTTGGGTGGAGCAAAATCGATATTTTGAACCACCCTAATGATCATTCTTGTGTGCATCGACGGGCTGTTCCATCGCGCTCTGATGCCCTTGATCCATTGCGACAGTTCCGAAACTCGTTTTGAAGCTCGCTATCTAAAAGCAGACTGTAGTGTATCGCATTAAGCACCTACCTGCTACATAAGATTTGTTACGTAAACAGACGTTTTACCGGTGTGCACCAGCAGCGTGAGAGGAGATGGTTTGCAAATGCAGGACTAGGCTAACTTGCTCGGTTGATCGACCGGTTCAAGAGAAACCTGAGACGCTTACCTACATGGTGATTGGCAGTTGATTGAAAAGCACTATCGATACCTAAATGAAAAACATATTCGCGAATCAATGTTTCTCTTGTTTGCTGAGGAAATGGATGACTTCACACTTGGCTGCATGTTTTTGTGCGCTCTTTATTGATGTTTTCTTTTATACCAACTCTTGAATTTCAAATAGCATTCAAGGTCACTTGTGTGGCTATGGGTTCAAGATCATGCTTACATTTCGGTAATTGCCGGTACCAGGCATATCTTCATGACTGTGGATAATTAATTCGAAAGTGTGGCGTACGGTTGAATTTGAGTGTTACATCAGAAATGGTCGTGGAAACTTTGAAGGTTCTCGGCTGTAAATAAGTTAATAGTGTGACGTAAATGTAGTTCCAAATTAATTTCATCTGTGAAGTTCTATTAGTTTATGAAGATTGTTTTTTGTTACTCTCCAGAAATAATCATTCCGAAGACATGGAGCAAAGAGAATGGTCTTCTGCTGGTGATAGCAGCCTCGCTGATCGCTCGGTCAATCAGCGACATCTGGATGATCCAGAATGCGACATCCATCGAAAGCACCATCATCACGATGAACAAGAGTCAATTCCACACGGCGTTAATCAAGTACCTCTCGGCGCTACCGGCTGTATGTTCATATTCTCGTATTCATTTGTTTTGTGATATTAAAAAAATCTTTGTTCCATCCTCTTTTGTAGATTGCAGTAGTGAACAACGTACTGAAATGGAGTATTGGAGAGCTGAAGCTTAGATTTAGGACTAATATGTCACAATATTTATACGCAGAGTACCTGAAGTAAGTTTCAAGCATACATTTAAATTCCTGACAGTTTTATGAGAAGAAAATCATCCGTCTCATTCACAGGGGATTCACCTACTACAAAATGTCCAACCTAGACAATCGAATAGCGAACGCTGATCAGCTGCTGACGACCGATATTGACAAATTTTGCGAAAGTGTCACCGATCTTTATTCCAATATTTGCAAACCGCTGTTGGACATTGTGATATACGTGTACCGGTTGACGACGAATCTGGGCGGAACGACACCCGGCATTTTGTTGTTGTATCTGTTCTTCTCCGGCGTGTTCCTGACGAACTTGAGGAAACCGACGGGTATGTTTAGCGATTGCTTTAGATTGGTTAGCTTTGCTGAGGAATTGTAAATTTATTTCTAGGTCGGCTTACGGTTATGGAGCAGAAATTGGAAGGCGAGTTCCGATACGTCAACAGCAGGCTTATTACGAATTCGGAGGAGGTAAGTGCGAAATAAAATGTTTTTTTACTTTAAATGATCTTTATTTCATGAATTTGTGTGGTTTACATGTATAACTTATCAAGTGACACAGATGCGTCTTTTCAACTTTAGTTCTTTTGAATTTCAATTATTATTAACTACAGTTCCTAGTCCTATCAGGCCTGTTTTGGATAATGACCACCTTTTTGGGGAGTTGGTTTGTTTTGAATTGAAAAAGGAAACTACTTATTACTACTATTTACAACAACAACTAACCTACAACTACTATCTACAAATTGCTTTTCAAAGCATGTTCTGATAAAATACAGTTTTTGTGCAAATTTAGTGTTAATTTAGTTAATTCTGGAATCTATTTTGGAAATGCCTGTCTCTTCGTGTAAATTTGTTATTCTAGTGTCGAAAGGACGATCAAGTACCATCCTCAGCACTCTATTCTGAGCGACCTGGATTTTGTTCCTGTCTTTGCACATGATTCCCACACCGGAGCTGCGTAGAGGGTCGCAGGTGCTATGATTTGTTTGTAGACAGCCAGTTTGTTCACCCTTGAGAGGCGGGATCTGCGGCAAATCAGCGGATACAGACACCTAACCAAGGCAGAACACTTGACTACTGTTTTCTCTACATGCGAACGGAAGAGGAGCTTTTCATCGAACAACATCCCGAGATAGGTTACTTCGGCAGACCACTCAACCCTTGTGCCATCCATGATTACAGTACAAGATGGAGCCGGCTTCAGTTTTGGCGATTGGCGATGGAGGAACATGATCACTTGTGTTTTGGAGTGATTGATTTTGATTTTCCACATGGTGGCATAATCAGCAAAGGCGTTAAGGCATTTTTGAAGTTTGTTCGTTATTTCGCGAGGCATCCTTCCTTTAACGGCTATTGCGGTATCATCTGCGAACAGGAAAAACACGCAACCGTCTCCGAGGGGAGGAATGTCGGAAGTGTAAATGCTGTAAAGCAAGGGGCCCAGGAGACTGCCTTGCGGGACTCCTGCTGGAATGGAAAACGTGTCTGAAAGACAACCATTCAACGATACCTTAAACGATCTTTGCTGAAGGTAGTTACGGGTGATTTCAACCAGATGTAAAGGAAAGTTGAAGTTACAAAGCTTGTACACAAGTCCGTCATGCCAAACATTGTCAAACGCCTTTTCAACGTCTAATAAGGCCATGACTGTGGACTTGGATACAGCTTTGTTACTTCGGATGTTATTCATCACCCGTACTAGCTAACAGAGGGTGGAGTGCCCCTTTCTGAATCCAAAATGTTCCGAAAGGAGAATGTTGTTTACCTCGACAAACTTGAGCAAATGATTGAGAATGAGTTTCTCGAATATTTTTTTCAGCGTTGAAAGGAGGCTGATTGGTCTGTAGCTTGAAGACAATGTTGGATCCTTACCGGGCTTGCGGATTGGTATGATTTTTGCTACTTTCCAGATGCTTGGAAAGTAGTGCAGTTCCAAGCATCTGTTGAAGATAGCGGTTAGGAGAGACTGCACTTTCATGCTGAGTCTCTTCAAGATCAAGTTGAATATACCGTCAAACCCGGGAGCCTTCATGTTCTTGGTGCATTTCAGCGCTGAGAAAATCTGTTGTACTGTAATCATATCCGCCGGAGGCATCTAGGTTTTGAACGCATTGTGCAACCTGATCTTCGAGCGGACTTTGGATATTCTAGCCAAGCAAATGCGATGAAGCGACATGCTCACCGATCGCATTTGCTTTCTCCTGTGGGGTGATTAAAAGCCGATCGTCATAATTTTTGACTCTGAGAGGTGGAATGGGTTTGGGATGAGTTTTCAGGACCTTGGCTACCTTCACGCCCAAAACTTTCATTTCGGAGTGAGTCCATTCTGGAAGCAATCTGCCTGTTCAGATCGGCCAGTTCACGTTTTTTGCCCAGATCTCCAGTCCTCTGAAACTGGCGTCTACTAACATTTCTCAGGCGAATCAAGAGTTGGGTGTGGGAATCAATGGCAATAAACTTACCCATCACAGAAACTCGTCAGACGCACGCCTCGTCAGCTTGGTGGAGTCCCTCCAACGCTCGGTCGATGTCCTCCATGGTGTCAAGCGGCGGGTTGTCGATGATGTGCCTGTCTACCACGCGTCCAAACTGGGCCCAGTTTACACGGTGGTAGTCCTTGTGCAGACTTGGAGCAGGGGCCACGTTGTAGCCCAGTTCAGCTACCACCGGTTGGTGGTCGGAGCTGAGTTCGTTCAAGGCTACCGGCTTGGACAAGCTGGTATTTGTCAGGAACAGGTCTAGCGTCGATGGGTTGCCCGCCGGTGAGATGAATGTTGGCTCATTCGAAAACGAAACGGAGTGATGGTGGACAGGTCCTTCTTGAATTTAACCGCTAATCCACTGCTGGCGGCACACTGTCGAGGGCAGTAGACGGCGATGAACTGGACGTATACAGTCGACGACTCCACCTCCACACCAATGCGGATGTGGGACAGAGTGTGATATTTTATTCCTTTCTTGACGACGACCACAACACCCCCCCCCCTCCCCTGGAGCTGGTGCGATCAAGCCGAATAATGTTGTAGTCAGGGTACCAGAAGCTGTCGCCAGACTTTAGTTGGGTCTCGGTTAGAAGGCCCACTTCGATGCTGTGCTTGCGGAGGAAGTCGGCAAGCTCAATCTCTTTTGCTCTTACAGAGCAAGCATTCCAGGTGACGATAGTTAGCGGTTTAGACGCCATACTGGATGATGAAATTACCGAGCACTTGGATCTGTTCGGGCTTATTGCGGCACTTACGGAAGAGCACCGGACATGTTGACGAAAATTTCCATCAGTTCATTCGCCGAGAACAGATCGGGGTTGTTGTTTTGTGCTGTTGGCTGTATCCAGAATCCAGGGGGATGGAGAGCTTTGGTCAGCAGAATCACCGGAAGTTGCTTGCGCGGGATGCAGCCGCGAATTCGCTTGCCTTTGCTGAGGAGCACGAAGAGGCGGGAAATCCTCCGTCCGAAATGCCGGGACTTTGTCCTTCTTGCGTCCGCTTGGATGTTAGTTGCCGCCTATTTTCGGATGCGTTTGAAGTCCTCGCGTTTGGAGCACTGTCGGTCGGAATCTTGATGTGCACCACCACAGTTGGCGCATTTTAACGCCACGGCTCCAGGGCAGTCAGGGCGGCAGTCAGAAGTGGCGTGTTCGTGAGTGCAGTTGCTGCAGCGTGGCTTGATGTTGCAGTTGCGGGTACCGTCTCCAAAATTGAGGCACCTCTGGCACTGCGTTACGTCACGATGGCCTTTCTGGAAGTGCATCAGGAAAAGACAATCCGGGTACGTCTTCACGTTTTCGTCTCTCCTTGTCATTTGGAAGACAGCAGTTGGGGCTAGCTTTTACCGGTTCTTGATTTCAGCTTCGACCATCTTGGGGTCGAATTTTGGTACCGGGAATGTCGTGCGTGAAGAATTCTGCCTTGGTGCCGAGCTTAAACTCAGCTGCAACGCCCAGCGATGAGAGATCGCCAATCGGCGTGTTGAGTGGCACTTGCTTCATCACCAGTGGAGGAAGCTTCATTTTTGCTGCACTCGGGTTGGCAGCAGTTTCGTTGTCGACGGCGTCGCCGAAATCACCAATGACGCTGACGTTAACGATTTTAAATTGGCTCACTACTTGACTAGCCTATTGGTCCCAAGCAAATCGATTAATGTACCCCATTCTAGTCAAAATTCTAGTACTACACTATGTTTGTTTTGATTCGCTATGAAAGTTTGACAGATAAAATGAGGGGTTCGTGGATTTTCCCGAGGGGGGCCACTCTATCTACGATGCAGGAAAAATTGTGTTTTGCTGTGGTTAGCTGCACGCACACTGAGTAGATAGAAAGAAGATTGATGACGATTCTGAAGATTTCCTGCAAAAAGATGATGTGCGATGCAAGTAAATGCGAGAAATGATTGAAGATTTTTCGAAGATTGATTCGCTAGTGTGATTTTTGTTGAGCATCTAGAATTGAGATTTAGATGTGTCGCCCCCCTCGGATTTTCCTATGTTTCGAGGGGTGCATCGATTAGCTTGGGACCGAAGATAGTACCAGAGCTGAGCCAAAAAGTTGAGCACGTTTCTTCGGGACCTACTAGTCTTAGAGTTACCTCTATGATTATACCATTTCAGGACGGATTTTGCATAGTGACAAGAAGTCACTCTGAAGTTTATACTTCATTGCTTTATTGGATCTCCGCTCAACCACTCATAAAGTTTTGAGCTTCTTTAGATACTTTTACCCACTGTTTCTTAAAAGTCAGCTCGTTATCAAAGTCTGGCCTTCAGGATGACCCAAAACTTCTCAATCGGTCAAAGTTCCGGCAAGTTTGGTGACATTTTCACTTGAAATTCTGCCAGCGTAAACATTACACTATTAGCTAGTTTCAGTCAAATTTAATCAGTTTTTACCCACACACTAAAAAGTTACAAACTAATCAATGTGTCTCACTTTTTTCGAGTACAGTCTTTGAGGGTCAACTTTTCTGAAGACACAAGGCTTCGATAATGAATCCCTGATGACTTGCAAAGGGCCAACGTGAAAGACTTCCATCCTGGGTGGCTGCTCGCTTTTGCCTTGACCTGAGCCCAGGTCAGATTCCTATCGACTTGCTTAATTTCCTTATTGAGGCTCCGCCGCCATGAGCTCCTGGGTCTGCCTTGCGATGTCCTGCCGGATTCCAATCCAGCGCTTGCTTGCAGATTTCGTTTCCGCCCCGTCGAAGTGTGTGGCCGACCCACCTCCACTTTTGCTCTCGAATTTCTGTTGCTATCGGCTTCTGATGACTTCGACGATGGAGCTCGGCATTCGAGTTGTGAGGCCACCAGGCACGAATTATATACCGCAGGCATCGGTTGATGAAGACCTGCAGCTTTTGAGTGTTCTCCGCTGATACACACCACGTCTCGCTGGCGTATAACAACACAGATTTCACGTTCGAGTTAAACATTCGGATTTTGGTGCGTTGACTTATCTGGTTGGATCTCCATACGTTTC